AATCATAAGAGCTTTCAAAATGTGCATTGGCACAGTTAAAGCATAGCAGTCATTTACTAAAGAACTACCCTTATCAAGTTTCAGCCAGTCTCAAGCTTAAAAATAGTGTTAAACTTTGGCCTTTATTTAAGCTACAGTCACAACAGATAACAGTTCGAAGCCAGCTTTTACATTAAAGTTTATATTAAGAAATTTACATCACAATAAGTTAAAAATCTAGGACTAGCAATTTTGAATTACCATAATTTGAAATTTTTTTTTAAAAAATCAGAGTTAGGGGCAGAATACAGATACCAGCCAGGACATAGCCCAGTTAAGTTGATGTGTTCAGGAGATAGGGAAGGATCTGTGTCTGTGAAATCTCATTTGAGATAATATAAAGTTTTAAATGGTCTCCCTGCTGTAGGAAGGATGTTGTGAAACTTGAAAGGGTTCAGAAAAGATTTACAAGGATGTTGCCAGGGTTGGAGATATTGAGCTATAGGGAGAGGCTGAATAGACTGGGGCTATTTTCCCTGGAGCGTTGGAGGTTTATAAAGTCATGAGGGGCATGGATAGGGTAAATAGACAAGGTCTTTTCTCCGAGTTGACGAGTCCAAAATGAGATGGCGTAGGTTTAAGGTGAGAGGGGAAAGATTTAAAGTGACCTAAGGGGCGACTTTTTCAAGCAGAGGCTGGTGCATGTATCGAATGAGCTGCCAGAGGAAGAGGTGGAGGCAGGTACAATTACAACATTTAAAAGGCATCTGGATGGGTGTATGAATGGGAAGCGGTTAAAGGGGTATGGGCCAAATGCTGGCAAAAGGGTCTAGATTATTTAGGATATCTAGTCAACGTGGACGAGTTAGACTAAAGGTCTGTTTCCATGCTGTATATCTCTATGATTCCATGACTCTACATTTCCATGTAACACACTGACACTTGGGCAGCAACATAGTTGATTCTTCACTGCTATCTGAAATTGCCCAGCCAGCAACTCAGCTCTGTAAAAATGTTGACCTTCTGACGTTCACCTCAGCAATGGAAATGACAAAGTATACTATATCCATTCCACCCCTGCCAAGTCTTCATCTCTTACTTCCAGGGACTTGCACTGAAATTGAGCAGCTAGTGAAGCAACATTGTTAATGCTCTTTTAGATATAGGGGTGGTGTCAGAGAGTGTAAGGATTAAAAATGCTGCCCACTTATTCAAAGCTTGACACTAACTGGTCAGTTTGTTTAGCATCAGTGGTGAGGATACTTTTGGAAACCATAAGCCAGGACAAAATTAGCAGCCAATTAGACAAGAATAGACTCATCAAACAGAGTTAACTAGGATGAGATAAGATCTGTAGGGGACAGATGGGATATAGAGTTAAATCCACAATCAGATCAGTCACAAGCTCATTGAATAGCAGAACAGGCTCAAAGTGCTGGATGGCCAACTCTTGCTCCGATCTTTTATGTTCCTATACATTCTGATATAACCAGAATCTTTTAAATTCTTGGCCCAGCAGATCCCCACTCAAGCATTACCATCAAGCTAGGGGATCAGTCTGCTTCAATGGAAAGCGCAGGAAGGTTATGCCAGAAGCAGCGCCAGGCATGGTGAAATGAGGTGTCAGCCTGGGAAGGCTACAGAACAGGACTACTTGCATGACAAACAGTAAAGGCAGCAAGTGGTAGATAGGGCTATGTGAACCCCAGAAAATTAATCAAATCTAAGCTTTGCAATCTTCTCACATCCAGTGTGAATGCTTGTGGACAGTTAAACATTTAACAGGAAGATGTGCCTCCACATATATGCCATTGTCAATGATGGGGGAGCCCCACACATCAGCAATGGTATAACATATTTGTCTTGGTTTTCTTCTTGTAATGAAGCATTTGTAAGTATTTTCAGCCAGATGTATCGAGTGGATGATACATTTCAGCCTCCCCCAGAAATCCCCAACATTACACATGCCAAACTTTAGCCAATTCAATTATTTCCACGTGATTATCAAGAAGGGGCAGCACGGTGGCTCAGTAGTTACACAGCACCGGGGACCCAGGTTCAATTCCACTCTTGGGCGACTGTCTGGTATGAAGTTTGCACATTTTCCTCGTGTCTGTTTGGGTTTCCTCCAGGTGCACTAGTTTTCTCCCATAGTCCAAAGATGTGCAGGTTAGGTGGAATGGCCATGCTAAATTGCCCATAGTGGTCAGGGATATAAGAGGGATAACCATGATTACAGGGATGGGGTCGGGGTTGGGTCTGGGTGGGATTCTGTTTGGAGGGTCGATGCGGACTTGTTGGGCCGAATGGCCTGTTTCCACACTGTAGGGATTCTATGGAAAAATGCTAAAGACATTGGACATTGCAACATTTCCAGCAATCGTACTGAAGACTTGTGTTCTACAACTTGTCGCTTCTCTAGCCAAGCTGTTCCAAGACATTTACTGCACTGATATTTGTCCAACAATGGTGGAACATTGTCCAGGTATGTCCCGTACACAAAAAGCAGGACAAATCCAACCCGGCCAAGAACCGCCCATCAGTCTACTCTCGGTCACCAGTAAAGTGATGGAAGGAACCATTGGCAGTATTACAAAGTGACATTTACTCAGTACTAATTGGCTTACTGTTGCTCAGTTTGGGTTTTGCATTTAATGGAGACTATATGAATGGAACTGAAGAACAGTAAAGGATCACAAACTATAATAGGTTTTGTGTGCAGATCTCCTGGTAGCAGCTCTGAAATGCTAAATTGTATAAATACAGAAAATAGGCAAGTGTGTAGCAAAGGCAGAACAGTATTAATGAATTTTCAGACTGGGTAGCTTAACATCTGTGACGGAAAATTGTTATAACTAAGGATGGGGTACCTGAACACCTTGAAAATTTTCATTCACTCAGGGAGATCCAGCATCGATTCATGACAGGCAAACCTCGTTAAATTTTCTTGAAGAGGTGACTGAGGCAATGGATGGGAGAATGTTGTTATATGGACTTCCAGAAGGCATTTGATAAAGTTCCACATAACAGACTGTCAACTAAGGTAGAACACACAGAATTGAGAGCAAATTACTGATATGACTGGGAAATTGGTTTGAGTGGTGGTGACAAAGATAATAGGTAGATACTAAAACTGGCAGGATGTGACCAATGATGTCCTCCAAGGGTCTCAATTATTCACATTATTTATTAACAACTTGAATAATGGCATAGAAAGTCATACATCCAAATTTGCAGCTGATGCAAAGTTAGGCTGCATTGTAGACTCTGTAGATGATAGCATAAAATTATAAAAGGATATTGATAGACTAAGTGAATGGGCAAAGCTGTGGCAGGTGAAGTTCAATATGTGCAATATGTGAATTGATCAGGTTACTTTCTAAATGGTATGAAGTGAAATACAGTGGATGTCCACAGAGACTATAGATTCAGGTGCTCAGACCTTTAAAATGTTACAAATGGGTGCAGAAAACAATCAAGAAAGCTAACGGAATGCCAGTGTTTATATCTCGAGGAGTGGAGGAGAAAGATGCAGAAGTTATTTCGCAGCTGTACAAAACCCTGGTACGACTCAACTTGAAGTACTGTGAGCAGATCTGGGCACCACACCTTGGAAGGATATATTGACCCTGAAGGGAGTACGATATAGGTTTGCAAGAATAATATTTAGACTTTGGGGTTAAGATATATAAATTAGGCCTGCTTTCTCTAGAATTTAGAAGATTAAGGGCGTTATGTGATTGAAGTTTTTAATGATATTTACAGGAAAGACAGGTAGATAAAGAGAAACTATTTCCACTGTCTGGGGATTCTAAGGCCATAGACTGAGAATCAGAGCCAGACCATTCAGTAGAGATATTAGGAAGTACTTCTATGTGCAAAGGATGGGAGATGTTTGGAACTCTCACCCATGAATGACATGGACGCTGGATCAGTTTTTATTTTAAATCTAAGGTAGATAAGTTTTAGTTTAAGCAAAAGTATGAAGCAATATGGAGTTGAACCTGAGATCAGCCATGATCTCATTGAATAGTGGAACAGTCTTTAGGTGCTTAATGAACTGCTTCTCTTCCTATTAAAACAAAACAAGAAAGTCAGTTCAACCGTAGCTAACAAAGGAAATTAGGGATAGTATTAGATTGGAGGAAGGGGTATATAAAGTGTCCAAAAAAAGCAGTAGATCTGAGGATCAGGAAAAGTTTGGCTTTAAGCAAAGGAAGAGAAAGAGATTGATTGAGGGGAAAAATAGTGCAAGAGAAAGTTTTTTGGGAACATGCAAAATGGTTGTAAAAGCATCCATAGGTATTTAAACAGAAAGATTAATGAAGACAAATGTAGGTTGATTAGTGTCAGGATCACGGCAAGTTTTAATTGGAAACAAAGATAGTTACCTCAGTCAACATTATTAAACAGAGGATCTGAGCACTCCAGTGAAGCATGTTGGGTCAAATAGCTTCCTTCTGCACCGATATAATTCTGTATTTCTGACATTATGTCTGTGAGTTTGCTGTGCTGCAAATTGGCTGCTACATTACCAACATTACAACAGTGACCACACTTCCAAAGTGCTTCATTGGCTTGAAAGCACTTTACAACATTCGACCATTTTGAATAATATTGTAAGGTTTTCTATTTTGACTGTCCTTATCTCTGTTATCTCCTCGGTCCTGGTAAATCTTGACAATATCTGCACTCCTCTAATTAAGGCACCTTGAGCTTCCTTCTAACGTCTTCCTTGCCCGTTAATCTAAGTTCAGATGTTTGGGTCTGAACATCTCTGCCCTCCACCTGCCTCTCCTCTTCTCAGAGCTTAAGAAGCTGGCTGTTTAGTCACTTTCCCAGGTTTCTCCTTTTGGCTTAGAGTCATATTCTCTGTTGTTATAGTACCTTGGAGCAATTTACCATGTTACTGATGCAGTATAAATACAAATTGTTGTTGGGTTCTTGTCATGGAGTAACCATGTCGGGTGGAATAGTCAGTATTCTGGTGTGACGTCTTTACAATGTTCTTCCACTAACAGGATGAAGAGAGGAGAGCTATTTGACTACCTGACAGAGAAGGTTACCTTGAGTGAAAAAGAGACCAGGTAAGTGAATCTGTGGATGGAATCTCCTGTCCTCTTCCATGTCAGCAGGCAAGGTATCCCAAACCCTGCTGCCTTCTCACCTCCACCCAAAATAAGTCAGAGATGAGAGGGCCTATGATCAAATTTTCCATCTCACTGTCAATTCAGGCTCTTTTGTGGGTGTTTAATGGTTACCAAAGGGCCCTATAGCACCCTCGCTGGCATTAACCCTGCTGCAGGTGAGCCTATCAACGTGCAGCATGTACAGTAGGTAAAAGTGTGTAGGCAGCTTATCAGCTCCTGGGTTTGGGGTGGGTAATCCCTGCTTGATCAAGGGAATTGGTATCATGAACAGAGGGCAGTCCTTGGAGAGTCAAACCTTTGACAGTGCTGTCAACACCTCTCTCCCCTTGAGCTGCCTGACATTACCTACTGATGCCAGGTCATTCCTTGATGTTGGATCTGGGTCCTGTCATTCCAGCAGCGTCCATGGCCTTGCCAGTGACATTCTGATTGGATAGCAGCTCTCGGTGGCAGAATCCCCACTCCTGGGCATCCTGATTCCAATGAAGTTTCCTCATCATACCTGATTGGATCATGGTGTGGTGAGCCTCCCTAAAAAGGAGCAACATGGGTTTCGCTCTCACTATTGTTCTCACCCTCCAATCAACAAGTGAGATCTACAATTCCTCAAGAACATTCTGCCTGGCCGTTATGTCTGTGTGTCACTCATAAACATTGCAATAAACACCTCTTCATCCAAACCACCAAGCAAGAAAGACTTCTCCCAAGATCACTGAAGAGAGCGGCAATGACATAGTAGTTATGTCCCAAGGCTTGTAATCCAGAACCCAGGATAATGTTCTGGGGGCATGAGTTCAAATTCCACCATGGCAGATGTTGAAATTTGAATTCAATAAAGAAAAATCCTGAAAGGACAGCCTAATGACAACATTGTCTTTTTTTGTAAAAACCTATCTGGTTCACTTATGCTCTTTAGGGAAAGAATCATACTGTGCTTACCTGTTTGGCTTCCATGTAACTCCAGGCTGACAGCATCACAAGACTCTTAACTGCCCTCTGGGCAATTAGGGATGAGTAACAAATTGTTGGCTGAGCTAGCAATGCCTGAATCCCATGAAATAGTTTTAAAAATTGAGATCCAAGGCTGCCTGGCCTTTCCCTTGAGTTGGACCTACTTCAGATGAAATTTCCATTTGTCTTTTCAACTGGAGGGATTCAAACATGGAGTTGCAACAAAAATAGGAACACATCAGAAGGGGATTTTTTTTTTAAATTTGTTCATAGGATGAGAGAACCATTGAATAGGCCAGCATTTATTGCCCATCCCTAATTGCAGTCAAAGTCACCTGTGTTGACATGGGTCTGGAGTCACATGTAGGCCAGACCAGGTAAGGATGGCAGTTTCCTTCCCTAAAGGATATTAATGAACAGATGGGGCTCTTTCCACAATTGAGGATGGAATAATGGTCATCATTAGACTCTTAATTCCAGATGTTTATTGAATTCAAATTCCACATCTTCCATGGCAGGTTTTAAACCTGGGACCCCAGGACATTACCTCGGTTTCCGCAATAACAGTCCAGTGATAATACTGCTAGACAGTGGCAAGAAAGAAATGTCAGTAGATTTGGTGAGGTGAGAGAGGTTGGAGATGGGACTGTAGTTTATAAGGACAGCAGCACTAAGGGTATTTGAAGATGATGCGTAGTTCTGGCCTAATATATTACCAACTTTGGTAAAACACCGAATAATTTGGCGAGGCTTGTTGGTATTCACTATCAGCATTCAATTGGACGCATCATGATCTCAAACTTTAATCTTGTGACATGTTTCTATTGGGAAGTCAGAGCAAAGTAACAATTAGCTCCATCAGTCTGGTCTGTCGTTGTATGGTTCACAGTAGATCATATTCTTCTAAATACTAATGCTGCAAAATTATCTTTTTTGTAACAGAACAATCATTTTTACTGTGTCTTTAATCAATCATATTGATCTTTATCAAAAAAACATTGCAAAGGTCTAAAACCCAACTCTTGCACATAATTTTTAAAAATTATTTTATGGGATATAGGCATCGCTGACTAGGCCAGCATTTGTTTCCCATCTCTAATTACCTTTGAGAAGGTGTTGGTGAACTGCTACAGTCCATGTGCTGTAGGTTGACCCACAGTGCTGTTACAGAAGGAGTTCCAGGATTTTGACCCAGAGACGCTGAAGGAATGGCAATATATTTCCAAGTCAGGATGGTGAGTGGTTTGGAGTTGGTGGCGCTCCCATAAGAAATAGGAACAGGAATAGGCCACTTGGCCGCTCATGTTTGCTCCAACAATCAATAGGATCATGCCCAATCCGACGTTCCCCACACCCACTTTCCTGCCCTTTCTCCCCACAACCCTTGATTCCCCAATTGATCAAGCCTTAAAAATACACAAGGACTCTGCCCCCATGACTCTCTATGGTAAGGAGTTCCAAAGACTCTCAACCATCAGAAGGAAGAAATTCCTCCGCATCTCAGTCTTGAATTGACTGCCCTTTATTCTAAGTCTAGTCTGTCATCCGATCTGCTGCCCTTCTAGGTCGATGTGATTATTGGTTTGGAACATGCTGTCAGAGGAGCCCTGGTGAATTTCTGTAATACATTCAATCCAACATGCTGATGTTTGCCAGAATTGCAGGATGAGAGCTAAAAATAGCCTTGGTATGACTAATAGTTGGAATTACCAGCTGCCAATTCACTCACTGCTGCTGAGTGTGAACTTGAGCAATTGGAGGAATCCAAGAGGAGCAAGGAATTAGCACATGGCGACAGTGTTAAAACACTGCCCGCTTCTATCTCCTTCCCAAAATCCACAAACCTGAATGCCCTGGTCGACCCATTGTCTCCGCCTGCTCCTGCCCCACCGAACTGATCTCCAACTATCTCGACTCCATTTTCTCCCCCTTGGTCCAGGAACTCCCTACCTATGTCCGTGACACCACCCACGCCCTCCACCTCCTCCAGAACTTCCAATTCCCCGGTCCCCAACACCTCATCTTTACCATGGACGTCCAGTCCCTCTACACCTGCATTCCCCATGCAGATGGCCTTAAGGCCCTCCGCTTCTTCCTGTCCCGCAGGCCCGACCAGTCCCCCTCCACTGACACCCTCATCCGCTTAGCCGAACTCGTCCTCACACTCAACAACTTCTCTTTCAATTCCTCCCACTTCCTACAGACAAAGGGGGTAGCCATGGGTACCCGCATGGGCCCAAGCTACGCCTGCCTCTTTGTAGGTTACGTGGAACAATCCCTCTTCCGTACCTACACCGGCCCTAAACCCCACCTCTTCCTCCGTTACATTGATGACTGTATCGG